AAAATCTACTATGTCTGTCTGCTTTCGACATAGAACTTTGCACCCATGTGCAGCGGTTCAAGTTGCCACACTCCCTCCTTGTAGCACACAAAGCAACAGAAGAAAGTAGAAGAAGTGCAAAACAGATACAGTAGACAGCGATATGAGACAAAAGGAATAGTAATAACGAAGAACAATATAGTTTCATTGGAAATCATAAGTCACATGGAGTGGATGCGTCTGCGCCAGCCACTGAAAACGACTTTGAGCGATATCACTGATTTTATCCAGCCATTGGTTTTTACCGTACCGAGGACCATAACCAATTAGGAAGTCTACACCTTCCTACGTGACTGGCTGGCTTAAACTAACTGTTGTGGATTTCATTGACTGATGAAGCCATGTTATGTTTTGACCGCCGCTAGCTCCTTTCCAGCCTGACCCTATGTCAGCTAACATTGCCTGTCGAGGAAGGCGATGACTAGGCATACGTAACACATGTCCTAACCATTTCAGTCGATGTAACTTCACAGCCTCGTCGATTGATTTCCCCTCCCACCTACCTACCTAACACTCGACCTATGCCTAACCTCGACATTGCTCACCTTATTATACCACTTCACACGGGGGATAGAGCGCAGGCACCTATGATCAAAGACAGCTAGTTAGCCTTTTCATGTCTTCCACTCTCGGTGGCCAGGTCTCGCCCACGGTCATAAAGGAGGACGGAGCGGACTGATGAGCAGTACACCCACCCTTTGGTCGATAGCCGGATATCACGTCCACTTAGCCAGAGACGGCGTAAACTGGCATATGCGAAACTAGCCCTCTGTATGCGTGCTGAGATTTCGTCAGAGATCAACCCGTTGGCGTTGGGGCTGATGGTACTTCCCAAATAAGTGAAGCGGTCGACGTACTCTGCCACTTCACTCCCTATTTCTAAACTAGGAGGCAGTGTAGTCCAGTCCTGTAACATCATCTGGCATTTGGTGGGAGCGAATCGCATGCCAAACATTCGCAGATTGCAGTTCAAGCTGTTGAGAAGACTCTGCTGGATCTTGTCAGCGTCCTCGCCTAGAAGGACTACTATGTATATGCAATTGTACAGCCTTAGAATGATATCACCGAAAAGGGGAGTAACTCTTCGCTGAACTTCTTTTCTTTTTTATATGACTCAATATGGACTTTTAAACTGTTGTAACTCTTGTAATATCTGCTTCCCTGAGGGGAATCTAATACACAAAATTACTACAATTCAGGAATTAAACGACTGAGAAACAACGCATGTGTTGACAGCTAGCTGCTAGCCAAAATTGGTGGACAGTAATTTACGTCAATGTTTACATCCCCACTATTGATCGTGAGAAAAATAAGAACAAAGACTGACTCAACAACCAACCACAGCGAACTTTGCGTAGGAGGATACAATTTGCAGATAGATAATCTGAACTTCAATAAATGGCCACAAGGAGATGAAAGATTAACGTTCAATGGGAAACCACCAATCAGAAGACCATGTTTGTTTGCTTACTATAATCTATTATATGTACATGAAAATCTATAAATATGTGTTGATTTCCTAAATAAACGATCTGTTTGGCTGGCGCTTGTCTTCTGTTGTTACATTTGGTGTCACTGCCTACTGACAAATGGAAAGCCCATGCCGTACAGTTTTCGATGCAGACATATGGATCTTCGAGCAGGACTTCGAGGCTTCTGCGCAGTTAACTGGCGTTCAAGATCTGTCAGCGATGAGGCTGTTACTTGAGACGCTGCTGGGAGGTCGGGAGAAAGCAGTATATGGAAGTGCGAGGCGAAATACCGACGAAGGTGCGACAGGGTCACGCAAACAGTTTCCAAAGTGGGAAGCACCATATACGGTCACTTTGAGATGAGGTTAGGCAGACACAATCGCAATGGTAAACAAAGAGAAACAGGTGAACATCTGCGACAGCCGAGATTCCAGACAGCAAGACAAAGGAACAAAGCCCCTACAACCAAGAGGATCGAACCAACTACAGTCGCAAGTCTCTGACGGGGGGACGCGTGTGGTGACAGCTGGTTGTTAGTCAAAATTGGTGGACAGTTATTTACGTCATTGTTCATGTCCCAAATATTGGTCGTGAGAAAAATAAGAACAAAGACTGATTCAACAACCAACCACAGCGGACTTTGCGTAAGAGGATAAAATTTGCAAATAGATAATCTGAACTTCATAAACGGCCACAAAGAGATGAAAGATTTCGATAGAGAAAGAAAGACCAGATTTGAAGAATAAAATGTAATATTGTCATTCTATTTCACAGGTTCCCTTCATCAGCTAACTGCACACAGCCACCTGAAATTACAATGGTTATCAATAATAACATACTTCATACTTCAATTCCATATTAGTTTGATTATTAAATGTATCACACAGTGAAACAGTATTGTATACTGGATGACGTTTCGAACACAATTTATTGTTCATAATCATATCAATTTTTTTTTTTTTTCATACTTCAATGTTTGAAAGGTAATAGAGAAAACATTATAAGGTGAACGCATCTGGAATATAAGTATTACAATTTTTAGTTTAAGTTACCATCAATTTATACACTATCAAACTATGAAAAAAGAAAAAAGGGGGTGAGAGAAGACAGAAAAATCTAATAAACAGTGTTAACATAGCAACTCAATAAGGTCAAAGTTCATCAATTTGAAAACTTGCTTAGTGAGTTGAACCCACTAGTGTGTATGACTAATCAGTGTAATGAAAGTGATACGGTTATCAAGGGAGTGAGAGATTGACTACACTCTCTTTCTGTATGCATAAGTTTGGTCTCTGACGTTTGATTGCAATTGCTTCAGCAGTAAATCGTAGTAGATTGGCTGTCCTTTGTATGTTTAATATATATTTGAAGAATTTGGAAATCTCGACAAAATGACCCGTATATCAACAGGGTGGGTGTCTGGTAATTGCAATTTGTAAGTATTTGCTTTCTTTTAGGCATAAGTTTCTTGGATCATGCTCTTTACATAGTTTGACAGTATATAAATGCAGGTACATCCAGCTGACGGGTCCCAAATAGGACGAAATGTGCATCCTGGATTCCACTGCTAGCCACCATCCACCAATTGTATACTAATTAAATACCCAGACATCGTCGAAGCATTTGCACAAGAAGCCGACATGTCAACCTGAGACGGAGCACTTCGGTCCAATCAATCGACGGGAAAATCAAAAATTCAATTCTATAAATGGTAATACTTATATTCCAGATGCGTTCACCTTATAATGTTTTCTCTATTACCTTTCAAACATTGAAGTATAAAGTATGTTATTATTGATAACCATTGTAATTTCAGGTAGCGGTGTGCAGTTAGCTGATGAAGGGAACCTGTGAAATAGAATGACAATATTACATTTTATTCTTCAAATCTAGTCTTTCTTTCTCTATCGAAATTTATCAAGGCAACCAAAAGGATGAAAGATTTAACGTTCATCGAGAAACAATCACAATCAGAAGAGTGTGGTTTGTTTGCTTACTATAATCTATAATAATATGTGCATGAAAATCTATGGAAATATGTGTTGATTTCCTAAATAAACGATCTGTTTGACTCTGGCCCTTGTGTCTTCTGTGGTTACACGCACTCTAGTGGTTCGAATAATTTGGTCTATATTTGATATGTATCCATATATATATATATATATATATATTGTATATATATATATATATATATATATATATGTGAATGGTGATCTCTCTTTCTGTTGCCCGCTTCACTTATTTGGGAAGTACCATCAGCCCCAGCGGGCTGATCTCTGACCAAATCTCAGCACGAATACAAGGGGCTCGTTTCGCATTTGTTAGTTTACGCCGACTCTGGCGTAGACGAGATGTTCGACTATCGACCAAAGGGCGGGTGTACTGCTCATCAGTCCGCTCCGTCCTCCTTTATGGTTGTGAGACCTGGCCACTGAGAGTGGAAGACATGAAAAGACTGGCTGTCTTTGATCATAGGTGCCTGCGTTCTATTTCCCGTGTGAAGTGGTATAATAAGGTGAGCAACATGGAGGTTAGGCGTAGAGTTCTAGGTAAAACAGGGGAAATCAATCGACGAAGTCGTGAAGCTACAAAGACTGAGATGGTTAGGACATGTGTTACGTATGCCAAGTCATCGCCTCCCTCGACGAGCAATGTTAGCGGATATAGGGTCAGGCTGGAAAAAATCTAGCGGCGGTCAAACAAAAACTTGGCCTCACCAGTCAATGAAATCCACAACACTTGGTCTAAGCCACGTAGAAAGGTGTAGACTTCCAGGCTGGGGTCCTCGGGACGGTAAAAATCTATGGTTGGAAACAATTGGTGACATGGCTCAAAATCGTTCTCAGTGGCGTAGATGCATCCACTCCCTGTGACTTATGATCTTCAATGAAACTGTTTTGTATTTCTTTATTACTCCTTTGTCTCACACCTCTGCTCACTGTTTCTATTATGCTTTTCTTGAACTTTCTTCTCTTGCTTCGCGTGCTACACGGAATGTGGCGACTTGAACTTCCGCACATTTGTGCAAAGTTCTATGTCGAAAACAGACAGACAGTTGCTCGCTTAGTCTGTGACCATTTCACTTTGATGAACCTCTCTCCTTTAACAATGTATATTCCCCTTATATTATATATAATATGAGTGTTTGTTGACAGTCCGTTGCTTGGTGACATATATCCATATTATATGTGTGGTTGTTGACATGTCTGCTATATTTTGCTATGTATATATGGATCGACACTCCATTATAATTAGCCATTCATGTTAAGACTGTCTATTGATTTGTTCACACACTTGTCTGGACATTCATATATATTTCGCTCTCACAATCTTGTGTGACATTTTGGTGTGATACCACTATTTGCATTCTCCTTGTGTTTGGAAAATAGAAGTATCATCGCAAACCTAGTGGTCTTCTGATTTCCGCCTTCTTGCGTCAGGACTATTAAATTCTCGACCAGTACATAGCAATAATTTGGCGACGAGTACATAACAATTTGGCGACGGGGAAAACTACTATTAACCACTCAGCAGCAGCAACATAACAATATTGTAACATTTTATTTTTGATAATTCAACCTTTCAAATCAATACACATATAAGTAGTATGTGAGAAAGTATGATGGAAGAGTAACGTAAGGTAGGATTTTTCTAGAAAAAAAGTAACTTTTCTACAATAGGAGCAGGAATAATAACCTGTTTCTTAAAAATACATATATACACACACAGATTCAAATAATCCGATGAATTATTTCCGAGGAATTGTTGTCTCCAAATCGACTGATGGTAGGGTATATTGTAAGTGTGACCACAACTTTGGTTTGCCTATGTGGGAAGAACACGGCATTTGTCCATAGACTTCACATATACACTGACGTGGGAAACTATAAAAGATTAACAAAAAGGAGATGACAATTACTCATACCATTGATATAAGAATAGAATTTGTGCACTGTGGTGCTAGAGTGTAATTCCATGATGGGTAAATTTTTGTTTTGATAAAGTTTCACAGTGTGGTTATGCAGTAATGTTTACTGATACTGATGACCACGTTTCGAGCACAATTAATCATTGCTGCTCATAATCATATCAAGGCACTACTCACACGACTTCATTTATTATAGTTCCATTATTTTTCAATTGATTTTCGCTTGATTTGATTGGTAGTAGTATTTTCTATATTTCGAGTGTGAGTGATGAGTTATTCCTATTGCATGTGTTTGGTGTAGACTCGATGAACCAGGCAGGATTCAGTAATCAATCGCTCTCCTCCCACCTACTTATATTACTTCTTAGAATTTTAACCCTCTCCCACCACCCTATTGTGTGTTTGTGTATTAATGCGTGAAGTGTAATCACTGAGATTTTTTCTAAGTTACTTATCTTCGTGGGATCAAACATTATGACCTTAGCTAAATTCTTATGTTCTGATAATCTCACTACTCCTGATCTACTAGTTTGACCTATGTAGTTGACCTAACTCACAGTCATTGCAAAGTATTTTGTAAATTATATTATTATGTTTAATTGGGTCAACTGGGTCCTTTAACTTACAGAACCACACAATAAGGTAGGAGAGGGTTAAAATTATAAAAAGTAATTGATATGTATCCACATGATGTGTGTTTTGTTTTTGACAGTCTATTATATTTTGCTAGGTGTATATGGATCGATATTTCATTATAACTGACAATATGCTTTTGTCTATCCACTAACTAAATAAACATGTATGACCTTGTTGTCACATGGCATTACAACCAATCATGTTAAGACTGTCTAATTAATGGTCCATGTGTGTTAGCCATTTTCATATATACTTTTGTACTGTATACTTGTTCCCACGTTTCGTACACTACATACCATTTCACTTACACTCTTGTGTGACATTTATTTTCCTTGTCTGGAAAAATACAAGTATCATCGTGAATGAGGTGGTCTTCTGATTTCCCTCTTTCCGTGTCAACTCTATTAGCCACTCGACGAGTACACAACATAATTGGCGACGGGGAAAACTCGAATAACTCACTCAGCAGCAGTACATAACAGTAATCTAGGTAAGTGAAGAGAGCGGTTGATTACTGAATCCTTGTTCATCGAGGAATCTACATCCAACACGTGTAATGGGAATAACTCAACACTCATACCCGAAATATGGATAATACTACTACCAATCAAATCAAGCGAAAATCAATTGAAAAATAATGGAACTATATAAATGAAGTTATGAAGTCGTGTGAGTAGTGCCTTGATATGATTATGAGCAGCAATGATAAATTGTGCTCGAAACGTGGTCATCAGTATCAATAAACCTTACTGCATAACCACACTGTTAGACTTTATCAAAACAAAATTTACCCATAATGAAATTACTCACATCACCTTATAAATACCTCAACTTACTCTGTTCCAAAATTCGACGGATTTCTTGTCGTCTGAGCATCATTTACCACTGATGATGACTCAGCCGATTGCGACGTGGTCTTTCCAAGTAACGTGTGCAAATGATCATAGATATCGGCATTTTTGCGGAAAGCACAATTGACCACCTCTTCTTCATCTTTTTCAAGATATATCTTTATAAATGGTGTTGGAAACATATTTTTGAATGTAATGATCTGTTTGAAAAAAAATATATATTTAAATAAAATAATATTAATAAAAATTAGTGAAAATAAAAATAATAAAAAAATAAAAATTAGCGAAAACCGACAAATTGGTCGAAGAAGCAGCAAAGACAGGACTCCATGTGAACATAGACAAGACGGAGGTTATGAAAATAACCAACCAACAACAACAGCAACATCCAGTGCCAATCACCATCAGCAACGGGAGGGATTTGAAAGAGGTTACTTCATTCACTCACTGATCTAGGGAGCATTGTCTCAACTACAGGCAGTCGGAACGGACGAGGATGTCGAATTGAGCGAGAATCGGGAAGGCGAGCGAGAAACACATTCATCAACCAACTGAAACCAATCTGGAAATCTTCGTTACTCAACTCAGCATCAACAACAAAATTTGGTTGGATTTTCAATACAAACAACGTGAAGTCAGTTAGTTCTTCTATACGGATCAGAAACTTGTCGGGTGGGTCACAAAGAATATTTCCACCAACAGCCTGTTGCAGACCTTTATCAACCAACAACTGTCTTCGCTCTATACTGAAGATCAACCAGATGGCCGGGCCGGAAAGAATCATCAACAAGAGAAACTATAGGAACAAACAAAACAAGAACCAATCGCCCAACCAACAAATATGCAGGAGAAAGTGAAGATGGATCGAACACTCGCTGAGGAGACCACTGGATGACATAGCGCATCAGGCCATTGTTCTAGTGGAACCAGCCCGAAAGAGAAGCGGCGAGTAGGACATCAGTGCAAGGGTGACATGGAGGAGATCGTGTGAAGAGCTGAGGAGTTGAAACAGTATGGACTAACATGGATGCAGGTGAAAAGTACAGCAGAAGGAAGACAGAAGCAAGTGGAGACGTGCAGTTGAATCCCTATGTTCCACTAGGAACCCAAAGGAACAATGACAAATAATAATAAGCGAATTTAACACATGCACCAACTTTGATCTACTTACATGAACATTATATAATAAAGGTTTTTTGTATTTCCCAATGAATGGAAAATAAAACGATATTGTTGTCGGTTTTACTGATGTTGCGCTATTTAATCCTGCTGCTAATAGCTTTATCAAAGTAATAATATTAAACTAGGATCTACAAATCCTATATTAATTTGTTTATTAGATATATCACACAGTCAGTGAAACAGTATTATTATTTACTGGATGACAAGGTTTCGAACACAATTTATTCATTGTTCATAATCATTTCATCAATTATAATCACACACGACTTCGAAAATTGAGTTTTATAGTTTTCTTTGTCCTCTCCTATTTGTCGTCGTTGGGGTAGTAGAACTTTCCAGATATCTGAGTGGACAGGTGTGGAATCATTCATGTTGCACGTATTCACTCTCAGTTGATTCGATAAACAAAGCTTCTGTTATTAATCTCTCCACCCACCCTGTTATATTACATTAGATTTGGAAACTGTCATCTTATCCCATCATCCTATTGTGTGGTTGCGTGTAATTGCATTTAGTGAGTGGTATAGCTGAACTATTCTCTAGATTTCTTATCTTATTCGAGACAACCAATACAGATTTTGTCAGGTTTTATGCTCGGCTAGTCTGACTGCCCCTGTTCTACTGCTTCGATGTACGTATTTGACCTGAGAATCCTCTCAGGCAGGGTATTAGATAAACTAAAGTGTTTCGTTGTAAAGGCTCCACAGGACTGATCCTTCAACTGACAGAGCTTGCATCTAATTGAGTTTGTGGGTGATTGAATGTCAGTCACTTTTATTCCTGCCTTGTTAACTATTCTCTGCCGTAAGGTTTCCTAGGTTCCTTCTTTGTATGGAAGTACCACTGATGATTTAGATTCCTTATTGTTGGTGTTGTCATTATCTTTCGCATGTTTGACATGCATGTCGTCATCAATATTGCTATTGTTATTGGTATTATCACTATCACTACTATCATTATTTATTTTATTTTTACATTTCCCGACATACTTTTTGACTAATTCATCAGGATAATTATTAAGTTTCAAAGCTAATTTTATGCGCCTCACTTCCTCTCTTAGATTTTCCTTGGTACTACTTAGTTTTTGTGCTCTGTCACTTAAATATTTCACCAATGGGATGATCGGAAGTCTAAATATCGGTTTGAATGTGTGGATTTCCTGCAAACGCTAGTGTGTGTGTGTGTTTAACTTCCCATCTTCTTTCGTTTTTAAGCTACAATCTAACATTGGAAGTTCCCCTTCCTGGCTTTCAAATTCGTCAGTGAATTCAATTGCCTCCACCTTTGAGTTAATGTTTTCGAAAAATCTATCTAAATTCTGTGTTCCAACTACAGTGAATGTGTCATCCACATGCCTTCACCGTTCACAAAATCCCCTCAGCTTATAAATAACAACTTAATCATCATTACTCAGCATGGAGTAATTCTTTCTACCTTGTCAAACTGACCAATTTGTAAGAATAACAAAACCAGGTTGGTGTAGATGAATGTTGGATTTGATAAGTGTGTAAAATTATACAAAAGCAGCGTGTGTTTACATAATGAAATTGATTATCACATTTGTGTTGATTTTGTCATTTCATGGCAGTTGAGGGTGGGGTGGGGGTTTTGTAACCAGGTCAACTTCTGTTTTAGTCCATCATTCCCGCTAATCAAACAATTTGGATTCCACTTGATGATATGAAGTTCTTCTGATGATATTAGAAGTTCTTTGTGATTTATGAAATGCTTTTTCTGGATGATGATTTCAATATTGTGACCTGGTTCTACAGAATAGCGTGTAGACAAGTTATGGCTGATGATTTTTCAAGCTTTTCTAGTTCAACTGAATTTATCAGTGGTCGAACATAGACGGCTCTACAGTGTTCATTTCCTGTGATTTTGATTTCTCCCGCGCGATGTTTTTCCGATGTTTATTGTATCGCATTCCGAGTATTTTCATTTTGTAGACACAATTAGGTTGGGAATCCTTAAGGATTTGGTCTTTTATATGGACAAGGCTGTTTCTTAGTGTGCATGTCTGATACTTTGAAGAAAACTCTGATGTCTTGCTTATTGAGTACTCCTTTTCTGATGATATCATTTGACGTTTCTGGCGTATATGGAATGACTGTCAACCGTTGAGGTCCATGTTTTCGGAATGCGCGTTTTCGACCATATTTAATGTCAGTGTTGATTTTGTTGATGAAGTTCTTTGGGTAGTTTTGTTTCGCTTGAGAGTCTCAGTAAGGTTTGATATTTGTTCTTCTTCTTTTGCTTTCTCATCCATTATCAGAGAGTGTGCTCGTCTAAGAAGACTTGTAACAATTGATACCCTTTGCGCTACAGAATCAAGCCACAAAATTGATTTTGACAATATTAAAATCATCATTCAGAAAAAGCATTTCATAAATCACAAAGAACCTCTAATATCATCAGAAGAACTTCATATCATCAAGTGGAATCCAAATTGTTTGATTAGCGGGAATGATGGACTAAAACAGAAGTTGACCTGGTTACAAACCCCCACCCCACCCTCAACTGCCATGAAATGACAAAAATCGACACAAATGTGATAATCAATTTCATTATGTAAACACACGCTGCTTTTGTATAATTTTACACACTTATCGAATCCAACAATTTCCACCTACCTGGTTTTGTTATTCTTACAAATTGGTCAGTTTGACAAGGTAGAAAGAATTACTCCATGTGTAACAACAGAAGACAAGGGCCAGGCAACAGATCGTTTTATTACGAAAATCAACGCGTATTTATACACATTTTATGTACATTAATAAGGCTTATGCAGGCAGAAAAAGGCAGCCTTTTAATTGGTTGTTTCTCGGAAGACAAACACAGTCTCCTGATTGGTTGTTTTCGATATTTCTCGGAAAGTAGAGCCATTTATCTGCGAATCATATTTGCCCACGTTTAAGTCTGATGTGATTGGTTGTTGAATCAGCCTAGAATAATATCTACCAATCAGCGTCGATTAATGTCTACCAATAGGCTAGCAGCCTGCTCTCACCACACATGCTTAGTAATGATGATTAAGTTGTTATATATAAGTTGAGGAGATTTTGTAAATTCTGGTTTAATAATTTTGTTTTTATTCCTTCACGTTCCCAGTGGAACACAGGGGGCTTCAAGCTAGAAGCTTGAAATTTCTGTGGGAGTATTTATTTTCACAGGATGGGGTTTCTAGCCTCATGCCCCCCCCCAACCTTTCCTCTTTATCAGCTTTATTTCTGGCTTAGCAAGGTAAGGGAGTGCGTCGGCCGGGGATCGAACCCCAGACTATGTGCATAGTCAGTGAGCGTCCTAACCGCTATGCCATCGACGCACAAAATGCTTGTCACCGCCTCGAAGGTGGAGACGAGGTGAGTTGCAGTACCTGGGGTTTGATAATACTACTTTGATAAAGCTGTTAGCATTAAATAGTGAGATGTCATTAAAAACAGTAATATAGTTTTGTTTTCCATTCATTGGGAAATACAAGAAAACTTTTATTATAATGAATATCACATACTACCTCCCAATGCCCAAATTTTTTCAAACTGTTAAAAAAGTGAACTTGGTTTGGACACATACATTACTTACCTGAACGTTTGGATTTCGAAATTGTAATGGGGGTAGATGCCATTTAATGAATTCATCGCATCCATGGGATATTTCAGCCCCGGGGATATGATTGATAACCATAATTTTAACACCATCATTTAAAATTATTCTTCCAGCTTCTAAGTACTTTTTCGTTCTAGTCACTGCTGCTCTTCCACCTTTCAAGAATGGCATTCTTCAGTTGAAGAGATCTGAAATTTGCGTAGTAATTAAAAAATAAGTAGGGGAAGGTGATACTGCTAAAATATGGTAGGCATCTTGTAAGAGGCAAAGGCAGACAATTGTTAATTAGAAAATTTTATTTATTTATTCTTTTTTATTTTTGACTACAGCTTGATTTCACACTGTATTTTTGGTACAAGTATGGAATTTTCAGCATGTGATATCGGTAGCCTAAATTTTTCAGGCCGACCATAGATATCAGGTGTACATCAGCAGGGGACCGAACCTCAAACCATGTGCATGGTCGGCGAGAGTACTAACCACTGAGCCACCGACGCTGGGATTTTAGATGATTCATCACTTTAAGATGACCGATGGTGCTACCTCGATTGAAAGATGAAGTACCTAGACTAGACTAGCCACTTCAAATTATATCTACCAATTCAACTGCGCTTTAGGTGGAGCGAGTTATATTGGCCGTTGCTCTAGGAACTTGATTTTTCGTGCTCGCTCGAGAACATATCACACCATCGTTAAGTAAAGGTGAAGTGAAAACCATTAACAGTTCGACACTGGACCATCTGGTACAAACCGGCCACAAAGCCAACCAGCACTGAATAATCCTTCTCTATAATCTACCACGTGCCTAATAAATTGCCAAAATCATCGAAGCATCGCATGCTCCAAACAGCACAGGCTATTGCAATTCGCCTCAAACAGCCAGTGCTTTGTGTTCAAAAGAAGCAACTACTCCAGCCCCTACTACTGCCCTGACCGGCCTTCAGTAGAGACTACAAATTCATGAATTTGTAATATTTTTCCTAATTTTCCTGACATTCCAGCTTAATTTATATTGATCCTATTGACCTGTAATCTATTGACATTATTATCGTTGACTCGATGTTATTTAAACTACATTAATATTGTTCATAACACTAATTCATTCATTCACTATGATGCACATATAACTGCAGAGCCTGATGATGAAGTTATCGAAAAGAGTACTCTTTGTTCAGTATCCATTCTTTTAAATAAATTTAAGAAGTGTCGAATTTGTATTTAAAACTCTTGCTATCTAACTCCACTCTACAACTTAACTGGATGAAATAGACAGAAATATCTACTCGTCAAGGTGAAGCTTTAAAATTCCTTAAGTTTTATGAAGTGAAGTTTTAGGCAGTATCCGTGTACGGAAGAAATCTGGCACTCAGAATCAATATTAACAACTAGGGTAGATGAGCAATATACACAGTGTCAGTGAGTTACGTACGTCAGTGGCACAGCGGTTAGAACACTCGCCGGCTATGCACATGGTCCGGGGTTCGATCTCCGGTCTCTGACGCTATACTTCTTTATCTCGCTAAGCTAGAAATGAAGCTGGTAAAGAGGAAAGGTTGGTGGGGGGGGCATGAGTCTAGCAAATCCATCCTGTAAAAATAAACACCACTGCTACAGAAACTTTAAGCCTCTAGATTGAAGCCCACCCCTCCCACACCTGTTTCACTGGGAATGTAGGGGAATAAAATAAATAAAAAAATGAATTACGTGAAAATGTCAGAAAGGCGTCTTACGCTGTGCTTAAGTGAAGATGGGAGTTCAGTCGTCCTAAATCTATTATAAATATGTAAATTAAAGCCTACAGAGCTAGTGAATACTACTAAATTTACGTGTGAATTTTACACCTGAACTGGACAAAGAGTCACTAAATTGAATAATGCCTTCAAGCTAAAGATGAAAGAGAGGTTTCACGTGCGTAAAGTGCGCGTAAAGTGGCATAATAAGGTGAGCAACATCGAAGTTAGGCGTCGAGTTCTAGGTAAACAGGGGAAATCAACCGACGAAGTTGTGAAGTTACAGAGACTGAGATGGTTAGGACATGTTACGTATGCCTGGTCATCACCTTTCTCGACAATGGGCAATGTTAGCGGATATAGGGTCAGGCTGGAAAAGTGAGAGCTAGCGGCGGTCAAACAAAACCTTGCCACCAGTCAATGAAATCCACAACAGTTGGTCTAAGCCATGTAGGAAGGTGTAGACTTCCAGGCTGGGGTCCTCGGGACGGTAAAAATCTATGGTTGGAAACAATTGGTGACATGGCTCAAACTCATCGTTCTCAGTGGCTAGCGCAGATGCATCCACTCCTTGTGACTTATGATCTCCAATGAAACTGTTTTGTTTTTCTTTATTACTCCTTTGTCTCACACCTCTGCTCACTGTTTCTATTATGCTTTTCTTGTACTTTCTTCTCTTGCTTCGCGTGCAACACGGAGTGTGGCGACTTGAACTTCCGCACATTTGTGCAAAGTTCTATGTCGAAAACAGACAGACAGACAAACAAAGATGAAAGAAATCACACAAAAAGAGAATGTGATCTGAAACTAAGTGACTTTCTAACATCTCAAATTAATTTTTTTTTGAAAAAAAAGGTTTGCGAGCAATGACAGACTATTCGCGCATGTGTACAGATACTTCTTTATCTCGATTTTCCTGCGATAGCCTAGCTTACATAGGTTGGGACATTGTTAAGAGTGTGTATATTACACAAAAGCAGTGTTCAAGTTGCCACACTCCCTCCATGTAGCACACAAATCAAGGGAAGAAAGCATAAAGAAATGTAAAAACACAGACAGTAGATAGAGATATGAGACAAAAGGAATAGTAACGAAGAACAATATAGTTTCATCAGGAATTATAATTCACGAGGAGTGGATGGATCTGAGCCAGCCATTGAAAACGATTTTGAGCTATATCGCTGATTGTCTCCAGCCTTCATTGATTTTTACTCTACCGACGACCATGACCAATAAGAAGTCTACACCTTCCTACGTGGCTTAGACTAACTGTTGTAGATTTCATTGACTGGTGCTATGTTTTGGTTTGGCCGCCACTGGCTATCTCTTTTCCAGCCTGACCCTATGTCAGCCAACATTGTCCGTAGAGGAAGGCGATGGCTAGGCATGCATAACACGTGCCCTAACTATCTCAGTCGATGTAACTTTACGGCTTTGGTTATTGATTTCTCCTCCTTACCTAGCACTCGACCACCGATTTCTAACCTCAATATTGCTCACTCTTTTATACCATTTCACAAGGGAGATAGAATGCAGGCACCTATGATCAAAGACGGATAGCTAGCCTTTTGATGTCTTCCACTCTCAATGGCCAGGTCTCACAGCCAGCCGCATATCACGTCAACGCCAGAGACGGCGTAAACTGGCATTCATCAGCGATCAACCCGCTGGTGTTGGCTGATGCAACTTCCTAAATAAGTGAAGCGGTCAACGCGCTCTACCACTTCACTCTCTATTTTTAAGCTAGGAGTGAGTCAGTGTAGTCCAGTCCTGCAACATCATCTTACATTTGACTGTAGGAGCAAATAGCATGCCAAACATTTGAAGATTGCTGCTCAAGGTGCTCAGAAGACTCTGCTCTATTTTGTCAGCATACTCGCCTAGAAGGACTATCTCATCTGCATATTCTAATTCAACGAGATTATTCTCTGGTAAAAAGTCAATTCCTGAGTCCCTGAAATGTGTTAGGGTTAAGTCTATTAGCACATCTATGATGAAAATGAATAGAAGAGGAGACATTTTCAAGGATAATGAAGTCTGTTTTGGGCATGATACCCTCAGTTTAAGTACTTCTAAATGCAGTGAATCCTATGCCCTGAAGATTGTTAGAAGTTCCAGAATAAGACTACCTCAATGACTGCATAAAGTGTGTACAAAGAAGTTTGGTCTTACTAGTGTACCTTTACAGCTTGTCGGAAAGGCTTACTACCAATTCCTGTTTGATAGATATTTGGATAATTGTGTGGTCTTGAAACAAGCGATAAGAACTGCTCAAGTATGGTGGAACAATATCTGTCTGTCTGGATTCAACATAGAACTTGGCACCGAAGTGCAGCCGTTCGAGTTGCCACGTTCCAAATAGCACACAAAGGTAAACAAGAAGATGAGTGGAGAGAATTAATAGTTTCACAAGTATAAGAGTGAAACAGAATGGTTAATGGTAGAAAGGAATATGAAAAATTAAAGAGACTGGAACAATATACTTTATTCCAAATGCTTACGACCTGTATTCAATAGTTATATTGTAAACACACGAAGAATATTGGTCAGGAATTTCGAAATAAATTATAGTTTATTGATAATTTGTAATAAAAGGCTCAAGGAGTGTTAGTAGACTACAATGCAGTGCTATAATTATATACCTATTGTAAATGAATTATCCCGAAAAGAAAGACGACCAAGATTGTACCGAAACATTGAGAAAGATAAATAATCGTTTATTAGACGCTGTGCTCGTTTAGAATGGGGTGAATTTATCGAGCTTGAGCTACTGTTTAAGTGACTTTTCTAATGGTTTTATGTAAGTTTAAAGACACAAACTGATCTAGCTAAAACAGACAGTCAAAAGACATACACTAAACTTTTACAACACCAACAATAGGGAATATAAATCACCAGTAATAATTCCATACAAGAAAGGAACCTCGGAAGCCTTACGCAGAATTCTTAACAAGGCAGGAATAAAAGTGGCTGGCATTCAAACCACCTGCAAACTCATTTAGAAACAAGTTTTATCGGTTGAACGATCAATCCTGTGGAGCCTTTAAAACAAAACAAGTTAGATTATCTGATACCCTGCCAGAATGATTGTCAAGCCAAATACATAGGTCATAGTAGTATAACAGGGGCAGTCAGACTAGTCGAACATAAAAACCCAGCGGCGAAATCTAGATTAGTTGACCCGAAGAAGATAAGAAATCTAGACAATAGTTCAGCTACCGCACTACATCACATGCAATTACACACAATCATACAATAGGCTGGATGGGATGGGATAAGTTGACAGTTTTAAAATCTAATGCAACTAACATAGTGGAGGGAGATATTGATGACAGCGGAAGCTTTATTTATCTAATCAACTGAAGAGGATACGTGTAATAGGAATGATTGAACCTGTCCACACAGACATTTGGGAGATTCTTTTACCCCAATGGTGACAAATAGGAGAGAAAAAACAA